TGCTTGAACTGGATTATATGTTCTTTCATGCAAGAAGGCTAAAGGTAAAACAAAAAGTCTCACTTGTGTGCTTAAGAGAATATGTGCTAAATCAAACCATTTCTGTGAATTATGTTTGCCTGTGCTCCTTTGCAGAAAAATTTGGACAAGTTTTGTGCAATTTCAGTCAGACTGTCACCACAGACAATACAGCTGTGCTTTGAATATCTCAAATACCATCAAACCATAAATTCCAGTGAGATGATCAGAACCAGTACATGAGATGCTGGTCAGTAAAGCAAAGTAAGTAATTTAAGTTATGAAGTGACTATGGCAATTGGTGCATTATGCTGATACAGCATGTTAGGGCAGATCAGAGCTGCTGAAACACCATGAATTGCTGCCAGCTGCGGGAGGGCAAACAGAAAAATTAAAAGATGTCTTAAGTCATCCTGCAATTTTTCAGCCCCAAAAGCCCCAAAACCCATACAGGTGCTTTTATGTGTGACAGAGCATCCAAACAGTATCACAGACCATTCTGATATCTGCACAACAAGGTCAAACCCCACATCTAAACATTAGGTATCAAGGGCAGACTGCCTCAAATATGGATATGGATCAGGCCCCCCAGCTTGGTCCTCACTTCATACACTGACAACTGTGCTTCTGCTACGTTAACCTCAGTCAGCATCTCTGTCACCTACCCCTGGTCCACATTCCTGTTTGTTGGCTGGAGGCTTGAATAATTTGTTTTGAAAGTACAAAATCATAACATAATTCATCTTTAAAAAGACATGAGAGTTCTGCTGGTCTGTGCAGAACTCGTGCCTTTGGAGGCATGATGATGAAGAGACTGAGAAATGATGGGAAAGCCTGGCATACGCGACTGAAGACAGGAATTTAAAAAATTACATCCAATGGAATACATTACTGAAGAAAGCTAACTGGAGAAATTACCTGTGAAAATTGACACTCCAGTGTGTCACATTTTCATGATGGAAATCAAGGCATACAGCAAAAATTTTCAAATAGCACAACACACAGTGATGGGGGGGAGGCTGTGTATCTGTCTGGGCCTTGCAAGGACAAAGGCTTTTCTGGGCTTGGCTTGGATATGGGAAACATTCATGTGCATCAGACTTCTGTTTCCTGAATATTTCAGATTAGTTCTGCACCCACCATGCAAGCTCTTTAACACTTTAAGTGCTGTAACTGACTGGAGTAATATTGTGTCTCTGCTGTTCAGAAATGTTTAGCAATTCTGCCAAATCCTCCAGCTCTACGCAGAGGGAATTTTTAAATGGAAAGAGAAGATACATCAATGGAAATCCAGATGTCTCCATGCAAAGGCCACTGGCATGCCCAAGCATAATGCCACAGACCTTTTTCAAGAACAATCTGATTCCCAGAAGGCCACGATGTAGTAGGAACAACCCAAGAATGCGAATGTACTCTGCTGAAACAGCTATGTCAGGAACAATATGCTGTTAGAAATGTTTCTGGTAACACAGATGTCCTGTACACAGTATTATTATACTGCTTCAAAATCTGCACTCTCAGTCTTTGGGATTGTAAGAATTTTACACCTTTATGTTAATTTAGATATGTTGTATTATCTTGGCACAAAAAAAGAGCTCATTTGCAGATACCATGCAAGAAGATATAAATATTTAGCAGAGGTAGCAGGCACCAAACCACAGATCTTCATTTTTAGGGAGATTACAGAGAAAAGAACTACCAGAGTTATGGATATCAGTGCATTGCAATTAGTGAGTGTTCCCTATATTAGAGAATTAATGGGACTGGACAATGGGTAAATGGGAATATATATCCTCCCATGCTGCAAAGGAACAGAACAGTATGATCCTGTTAGAGGATGCCTCAAGTCAATATTCTTGTGCTGCACCTTATCTATGGTCAAAATGCAAATTTCATTTACTAACAGTCCAGCAGTCTTTTCATTCCATTTGCACACTTTTCATTCCATTTGTTTCAGGAAGAGTATCTGCCTCTCATCTTTTTGCAAGTGTTTATATTTTTAAAAAATTGGAATATCGCAGTACGTTATACAAAAAAATTTATTTCCCCTAGAAGTGGAAACACTTCTCCCTCTCACTCTTTTATTCAGTGTTTAGAAGTTAATTGCATTATGGTAGTTAGTTATTGCATTACAACAGTTAGCTCTACTAAGAGTTTCATAATTGGAGTGTTGAATATTAAGGTTCAATAATAATTTTCTCAAGAGTTATCTGTCAACACCCATAACTCATCATAAAACCAATTATGTCACTTCTGGCATGCCTTTCAATACTTTGGTGCCAGCCAAAGAAAAAGTCAATAAGATATTTTTCCATGGCTGATCCTTGGTAAGTGGCTCCAGTGGCATTCCTTGTTGGACGTCGGCCATTCGGGCTTTTGGAACTGCATAATCCCAATCCTATGAGGCTACTCCAGCAAGCACACCTCAAAACACAAAAGTATTTTCAAACTTGTTAATTACTCCATTTGACTGGTTACCATGAAACACTGCTGAATAACACTGATGGAATTTATTGAAAAATAGCGCATAATTTTCTGAATATGCATGTGATAACAATGGAGTTCTACCTGACTTCTGGTCAGGTGGGAAAACCCCTTCTCTGCCACACAGGAACACACTTCTCCATTTTAATACTTAATATATGCATTACAAAACACTTTTGAAATTACAAGGTCTGCAAATCTCACTTAAGATATCACTAAGTTTTGCACTGCAACACAATTCTGTAATGAATATCTCAGTTCTTCAGCGCCAGGAAACCTACAGATTTCTCTCCCTTTGAATGTTTCAGATCAGTCTGGTTCTCACAGCAATTCACCCTAAATCCACCTTTAAAATGCCAAGATTTTAAGATAAATTGTTCTGACAATTGTCCTGACAAATTAGCTCTTCTAAGCACTCAGATTACAGATCTATCTACTTAATAGCCGCACATTTCTCATTAATTTTTTTCTGCCACATTCAGAAACCTCCTCCTTTTCAAAGTGCTCATGCAATTAAGGTAACCACTGATGTCACAGAGCACAAGCCACAATTAGCTGATTATTTGTTTTTACACCAAACCTCATCTAAAAAATTATGTTGAAATGTTTACATTGTTACTTAGTATCAAGCCATCCACACTGAAAAAAAAAATCATTAAAGCCCTATTTCCCACAGTGAGATGAAGGGCCTCAAATAATTTCCTGCCCAAACCAACACAAGCTCTTTTCCACCAGCTTGAGTGGCCATACAAGCGAAGCAGACTGTAAGTGATATGCAGTGAAAAATAAGAATAAAAAGTTACAGTTGAAAATGTTTTCATAAACCATTTCTGAGGAAAAAAGGCAATTAAAATTATCAAATGTAGAATTTATTACATTTGAATATTTAATTTCTTTTAACATAAAAAACTAGTTTTGTGTGAAAAGTCTTTTGAAATTAAAAGTTAAAGTTTTCTGAAGCAGGTATGATACCTGTTTTACTTGCAACTGTAATGGGGTATACACGCAGTCATTCGGCAAGTACTTGTTAAGGAGCATTAATTTCCAACTGAGGAGTGTAAATTCTAACTACAAGCTAACTTCTCACCAGTCTTTTTTTTTTCAAATATGAATAGTTTATTATAAAGCTAGAGATTTAACTTGGTCTCATTATTCAGAGTACTACAATGAAAATATGAAGATTTCAGACTAAGAATTAGTATTAAGGATGCTTAGTTAACTAATTAAATCATAGCAGTTCCTTTAAATGCTGAGGTTCTCACTCCACTGCTGTATATGTGATTCATCTTTATAAAAGCATCCTGGACTACAGTCTGAAAAGTAAAACGGAAATACAGTCATACCCTAGTGCAATCTTCATCAAGTTTTATCAATATTTAAAATATTTTGGTGAATATTTAAGCAGGATCAAAATGCTTGAAGTCAACTATCTAATAAATATTTTTCTGTTAGTCAATATTATAGAGCAAATACCGAATTACAGATTTCTCAGATTACACATGGTCTATCACACACTATTTAGTAAATCACAAATTAACTATGCAGTAAATAATCACAGAACTATTTCCCTCAGACTTTGGGAACAGATTTGGTGAATCTTTTCAGCCCCTTTGGCATTAAGGATGGTTTGAAAAACATCAATTCCATTGAAAGGCCTTCAGAGAAGACTTTTGTCTGGTGGTTGTTCATTAACTGTTAAACTCTGACAAGCTTCAAAACCATGTCTAAGATTATGTGATTTTTTGTGGGGGATTTTTTTTTTTTAATAACCAAGCAAACTAACAGTTAAAAACAATAGTTTTTAATAGTTAGAAACAACCCAAAACACAAAACCCCAAGATCAGTCCCCGTCTATTTTGCCATGGATGCTGAGCCACCCACATGCTAAATCTTCACATGGCTGATCTTTGCTGTTACCAGAAGAAATGTTTCAACAGCAGCTGCTTTTCCAAAAAAAGTAGCTTCAACTACAGAAAGAAATCCGTGTGGCCTACAGTGCTCTGGCTTATAAGAAACCAAATTATAAGAAGTGTATGAACCCATTAAGTTGGGCTCATTTGTAGTCATGTCCCTTTGTAGAAACAGGGCCTGCAGAGTTGACAGAAGAAGCAGCACTTTAGAGCAAGGAGTAATTTTGATTGTATCAATAAATAATATGGAGGGAGTATTATATTGGAGCAATATATAAGAGGGGAGTCAGAACACATTAACTTTGGGAGCATCCCCTCTGTAGAGCACCTTCTAGAATCACAGGATGGCCACCCCTTCCTCCCCTGCCAACACCACTGCAACAGCTCATGAAGTGAAGTGCCTGCGCACGTAATATGCCAAAGAATATTCCAAAGGTGGATCTCAATGAAAAAAACCTCCACAACTTTTAACTACATTCAAATTAATCACGGGGAAAAAATAAAATATTATCTTTCAAAATTATTCACAAATTCAAATTTGGCCTCCTGAAGGAAGGTATGTAAAGGTGAGATCTCCATTTCTCTTACCTTTGCGATGGTCTCGTGCAGACTGAAGGAGGGATCCAGTTCTTCAGTTTTTGTTGCATGTACAGGAAAAAGAGCTTCAGAGAGAAAGCTAGAATTCTGTGAGAAAGAAGTAAGAAGTCTTTTAGGATTCCACACTGATTTCCTCCTTCAAATGCTTATTGGATTTTGTTGAGAGATTGAAAAACCCTTCAAATTGTTCTTAAGTTTTGACAATTATGAAATTTATTTCACTGATCTAATTAACTGATTCCAAGTTCCCGAAAAAGGCAAAAAAGCCCTAAGTCTTATGACTTTATTTCTGGAATGGCAGTTGTCTCTGTTATTATGCTTCCAAAGCAGCTAAAAATTTTGCCTACAGGGAGAAAAAATATCCACACAGCTTTCATTCTGAGCTAAGCAGCAATCAGACATTTTATTAAATATGTTATGATTTAAGTCTTCAAAAGAAATGTAACCACAATAATCAAAGAATACTTTTTTATCTTCTGCAACCATCTTACTTCTCTATACATCTAACATAGCAAGGGATTTTTGTCATTTCCCTGAAACTATATACTTTAGGTTGACCACTCTTTTAACACGAGGCAATCTTAATATATCATTTGTACAAGATATTAATCTCTTGTACTGTAAGAAAGGGAGAAGTGAGGTTGTCAAATTGCTGTCACATGGAAAAAACAAACTTAATCCCAAGGAGTGGAGTGAAAAAACCCAAAACAATAGAAAACAAAACTTCAAGCCTCAAAGGTGCACAGATGCCTAAAATTACATTACATTACATTGCTGGTAGGTTTGCTTGTTAACTTTTTTTACAAATTAATGCCTCCATGATCAATAGTATACCAGAATTTCCATGTTGCTAGGAGATTATTTCCAGTAGAAAGCTCCCATCACCTTCTTTAAAAAAATAAATATATAATTAGCACTGAATCATATAAATTTCCCGTGTTTATGATGCATCTGTGTGTTGCATAAGTTGTCACAGAAGCATCAGAAAAATAAATGAAGTCATTCTTCCCTTCAGGAAAACAGTAAACTTTTATATATATATATATCTCAGAGAGAAGATGCACAAAGTCATTTATTACAAAAATAAAATACATACTTCAAGATTAACTCATAACACCTATTCATCTTTGTTTTAAGTTTGCACACTAGTTTATCATCTGACTGGGGGTCTGTTCAGGAGCACCATCATTCTGCTGTGGTGGTGCTAATGCTGTTCATCATCATTCACATAATTGCAATCAATAACTTTGAAAGAACCACACTATTTATATTCACTCTAGAGTACCTCACTGAGAGTCAGGGAAGGGAATGACTGATGATTTAGATTTGTTACACCAGACCAGATTATTGTTCCACCTAGACAAATATTCTTTCTCTGGAACCTAAAACTTGGTGGATTCCCTGTCTGTAAAACAGGGAGATGCTGCTTAGCTGGCTTTTCTCCCACCCTACTCCAGGCACACCTCCCAGCCAAGCTGAGATTACAGCAGCTGGGCCAGGCAAAACAGCAGCCTTTGCTTCTGCCCTCTGCCTTTTGAAAGAACACAATGTAAATAAGCAACAATCAGCAAATAGATCAAAACACATCTAGGCATCACAAATGGCAAGTCAGTTTGCTCATGACCAAATCCAGACCCTGCGTGGTAAGATCTTGAAAAGGATCACGATTTGAAATAATCTTGCTCTGCATTTATAAAAGGAAATGTTTAAAGCGATTGTTGTTCCTTTTTTTTCTTTTTTTTTTTTTTTCCAAAAAGGCTCCTCTATAAAGAACTACTAGAAAGGCCAACTTGCTCTGCTTCTCTTGCCTTTTATTGCCTTTCAAGTACTATCCTCATCAGAGAAAGCTGCATGAACTTCCTAGCTAAGAGAAGCCTACTCTTTACCCCAGGGAGGATGTGGCAGAGAGATGAGCCCAAATGATGTTCCAACAGTACCTCTCAGCATTTTACAGAAAGAGCAAAAGTTTCCAACAGTGAGAAACTGCATCAGACTTCACATTTATTCTTTCAGTAAGCTCACAATAGCAAGTGAGTGTTGGGTTTTGGTTTTTTAACAGCAATTTGATAAGCAAATTTCTAGTAAATACGCACTAAGAAAAAGAAATGCTAATCCAAAGAACATTAAAACCAACTATGTTATTCCTTTATGCTTTCCAACCACAGTAGGAGTTACAGCTGCAGTTGTTGTCCTCATACTCTGCCACACTCACTTCCTAAACGCAAATCATCTGCCTTCATTCTTAGCCAGGCATTTGTATCCTCCTCAGTTTGTACAATGGGCAGAGTCTCCCATGCACTGTGCAGCTGAATGCTGTGACAATGATGTCAAATTACAGAAAAACTGTTTCAAGGTCAGACGACTGTGAGACATCCTAAAGTTCGGAAGCCCAACTTCCAGTCATGCCTTCAAAATTTTCTACTCAATGTTTATTGCCTTCTCTATTTTTTTCTTTAAGCTCACAGCTATCCAATGGATAAAGAACATTTGCTCTTCTGATATAAAGTTGTGTTTTCATCATACAACCTTTACAATCCTGAAAGGATCACCCCAATAATCCTTGAATTCCCAATGCAATTATTGGTTTCTCTATGAGCTTTTCATAAGAGAAATGAACATGTATTTGGAAGTAGATTTCCAAACCCTATCCTTGTCTTATCTTCTTTTTGGAATGATCAGTTAACCTGGTCTTTTCAATACTCATTTAATGAAGCATTCTGTGAAATTAGAAAGACATTGATGTTCCACTTTTCAAATAATAGGTCACTTCTGATTAAACTTCGATTGAACATTCAACTTTCAATCTTAAAACAAATTGCTTCCTTTTCTTTTTAATTTGAACCCAATTTCCTGCTGCCCTCGGGTCTTGTGACAGTAATTAATTGATTTATGAATCAATTAAATGGAGATCGAAAATGCAGGTGAAAATCCTTTAAAACCCCAAACGTGGCTTAGTCTTGCTTATTTATGATGGACACTTGCACTAAAATTCACTTCTGATTTACTAGACTCATTTTTCTAACTTAACTTATCCTTCCTGAACCAATTAAGTGAACAGAATGTTTCACCTTCTAAAGGTACTAAATTTGCCATCCCTTGTGTACTGTCTTATAACATACCTTCAATTTATATGCCAACTTTCAACCAGTGCATTTTAAATCATGAATAAAATCCCACCGCATTTCTGGTAATTTAATGTAAAACAGAATAAATACCAAGACATACCTAAAAGATCTATTCTGCTGTCATTAAATAAAAAAAAAGTTTTAAAATATCAAATTTTACCACACACTCTCTTAGAATTGGAAATATTTCTGTAAATATATTCAACAAACAATTTTTTTACTAGGCCAAGACAATGCTGCCTCTACAACATGTCCTGTTTTCTTGACTACTACTTTAGAAAAAGCAAAATTACCAGTTAGAAGAATTTTGAATTTATAAACTCAAATTACGCAACAAATAATTCCTTAATATGCTCTTATTCCACACCTGAATAGATTTTTCCTGCCTGATAATTATTCCCCATTATTTATAAGAAGGCATTTATAAGAAGCCCTTAATTTGGTGAACAATACACAAATATCTCCAGATTTATTTTTTTTTTTGAGGGGGTTTCTTTGTTGTTTGTTTGTTTTGAAAGTAACAGGCAGTGGAGGTTTCTCCACTCAGCAATAATGCTCTGCCTAGAAAAACAATCTCTAGTCTGAAGTTCTTAAATCAGTTTGACTTCACCCTTGTTAATATTCATCTGAATTGTCCATACTTGGGTCAACTTTGTCCTTCAGCCCTTCACAATATTCATGCCACCAATTTTATACTGAATAAAAGTAAAAGACAAAAGGAGGTACTACAGAGCACAACAGAGAAAAAGGAGTGAGAGTAAAAATCCATCTGAAATTTGTACAGGTAGGCCAAAAGTATAAATGTGCTAATCTAACACTGCTGAAGCCTCCAAAGCAAATACACAAGAGAAGGATGAAAGCCAAGAGAAAACTTTTTTTTTCTTCACACAGACCAAAGAATAATGTCTAGAAAATGAGAATTTCGCTGCATCAGGACTGAGAATACAATTTGTTACCTGCCCCCATATACATATATATATATACACGTTATGTCTGTTCTATGAGCTATTAACCTGTTTCATTCTTTCTGCCTTTTTGTAATACAACAGCACAAGAACTACGATCACAGCAACCCGAGGGACACACACAAACGTGCAGTGTCTGGCCAGTAAAACACAAAGTAGTCCCTGCACGTGTTCAGAATTAACCTGGGAACACTTTCAGTGAGGAAGCTGAAGTCACCTGCGAAGCACAGTACGAAGTTATGCAGTGCCCAAAACTATTACCCAGAAACCCAGGGGCTTACAATTGCATGAGAACTTGTCTGCATCTGTATTCAAAACCCGTGCCAAAAATTTGTCGTAGCATGAAGGAGAAAGCCCCGTCAGAGGAAAAGATAAAGAGAGAGTAGCGAGAAGAACAAAAACACCTCTGAAATCTGCACTGCAGGCTCTCACTAATTCCTTCTTCCATTTTACCCTAAGTCAAGCAGTTGGCATATGGTTTCTTGGCAGCAAATAAACAACTGCATTTCTTTGTGAAACAGCTGTTTCACCTCACCTAAGCCAAAAGGCCACCTCTTCTTCATTTTCCTTTTTTTTTTTTTTTTCTGCTGGCAGGATGATTGAACCACAGGTTTGACTTCAAGAAGGATAAAAAAAAGGAGTAATAGAAAAGGGTATTTCACAGACTAAAATATGGCTAATCATCAGCTATCTGGAACACTTTTAGCTTGGGAGGGTGCTGCAGACTGAAGCAGATTTACTGAAGAAGGTGGATTATGTAGCATAGAACATAATGAAGCCAAAGTAGGGTTTTCTAATATGTGAGTTAAATTGAATTGATGGAATAATATCAGGCATTAATGTATTGCACATAGGATTTCTCACCAATAAAAGCCCTTAAAGCTGCAAATATATTGCAGGAGAGAGTTCATGCCTCTCCATCTCACTACTGGGCTGACTTTTCCTTTTCTAGCAAATGCTCTAGATATCTAATTAAATATCATCCACCAAAACCAGA